TTTTAATTAATACCAATGTATATCCATTGTTTAGTGCGACAATTCATTAACTATCGAGAGAATGTATTTAAATAATTTTGTTGTGGTTTTATGTTCAGGTTAGGTATATTTTACATCGAGGCGCATCATTAAATCGTAATTTCGCAAGGGCATACACTAAATAAGGTATAACTGCACCTTGCTCCTTTGTTTTGCTTCTTTTTTCTTGGGGTCAGAACTTGATTAAATTTAATTTAAAGTATAAATTTAATCAAGTACATGGCTGTTTCAGACCACAAGAATGTTTGATAGATTATGTAATCAATTACGCCATAAATTATGTAATCACGATTTACATATTATTCATATTCATAATTCGGTTTCATTCTGTTGTGAATTTTTGATAGAGATAATAAGTTGTTTATTAATAATTTTATTGATTTCATGATCAATTATTACATAATTACATGTAATTACAAGTATTTTCTATAATTAAAGTCACATTAGTGGCAACAAACCTAAATGTCTTGTTGTTTATATGAGAATGGAGAGTGAAGGCGGTTTCTTGAAATTCTGCAATAGTTCAATAACTGTGAGTTGGGTTCACGACAGTACACGAAAATGTTAATGAACGAGAAGTTCCACAAATTAGTTATTATGTCAAAATGAATTTGCATTGGCAATTGTACATAAATGACAATTGTACATAAATGAATTTTAAGTTTTACTTAAAATATTTTATGTACATTGGAATGCTCTGCTTGTAAGAGTTATCGTGCTTGCATTATCCTTGGAAAGTTTTTGGAATGTCCAAATTAGGAGAGGCAGATGCAAGCGATTCTTGGAAATGGGAGCATTTAGTAAGAGCCCAATGAAAATCGTGCGCGGTAAAAATCTGGACCCGGTCGTCCAGATAGCGTCACTTTTCAGTTTCTTTTAGGACCCCGTGAAAAGTACATGTGTGTTGAATAGCTTCAAATTATTATAAGCCGCCTCCACCCCGCCACCTGTTCCTTTTTTAGGACGTTTAATTCTGTCTACTTTTTCTTTTCTTGGTGTTTAATATGTTTTACGTTGTTTTCGGTTTCAGACCACAAGAATGTTTGATATATTATGAAATCAATTACGTCATATATTAATAAATGTAATCACGATTTACATATTAATCATATTCATAATTCGGTTTCATTCTGTTGTGAATTTTTTATACAGATAATAAGTTGTTTATTAATAATTTTATGGATTTCACGATCAATTATTACATAATTAATTACAAGTATTTTCTATAATTAAAGTCACTTTAGTGGCAAAGTGCAACAAACCTAAATGTCTTGTTGTTTATGAGAATGGAGAATGAAGGCAGTTTCTTGAAAGTCTGCGATAGTACAATAACTGTGAGTTGGATTCACGACAGTACATGAAAATGTTAATGAAATAGAAGTTCCACAAATTAGTTATTATGTCAAAATGAATTTGCATTGGCAATTGTACATAAATAAATCTTAACCATTTTTTTGAAAGTAAATAAAGGATATGTTCCTTAACTTGAAAAGTGTTGCTGCTTTCTTCAAATCGAGAGCGTGACTTTATAAATACACAAAATATTTGGTAAAAGTCAAACATATTTCGACTTGGGCCTATTTACTTGAAATTTTAATTATTAAAACGCGAATTCTATTCAAAGCAGCAGCATATTCCAGATACTAGTAGTACAAAGTGTACAGAAAAAATTAATAGCTTGAATTTTTAATTTCAAATACGGTATGCTCTTGCGATATTGAAATTTGTTAATGACCTACATTGTACACTCGGTACACATAATATGCATTCATCACGTGACTGTCCATAGATGAGACCAACTCCATACAGTACAGAGTAGGTTATTCTATGCTATTTCCATAAGAATTTAAGTTCTGTAATTATAAAACAGCTGAATAAAGATAAATTCAGTTTTAAAAACAATTCCCGTTTTTGCACCTTTTTTCCGTTGATTTTTCATAGTAAACCTTAACAGTGCTGCGATACAACTACTTTGTACGGAAGCCCATTAGTGCCAACCTGTATATATAAAGGAAAAGCAATATATAAAAGCAAACCTCGATATATAAAGGAAATGCGATATATATAGAGAAAACCTGGATATATATAAAGAAAATGTAATATATATAAACAAAACTTCGATATATATAAAGAAAATGCTATATATATATAAACAAAACTTCGATATATATAAAGAGAAATGCGATATATAAAAAGAGACATGCGAAATATATAAACAAAACTTCGATATAGATAAAGAGAAAACTTTCCATCGCCTGACCTTTAACATGTTTAATGACCTTCATAACAACAGAGACTTCGCTACCTTACGATAAGCAGCTCCCGATCTAATGTTTCGATTGCGATCAGTTGGTGTGGCTGTTTCAGGATGGTATTCAGTGTGTTGTTTTCTTTATTTGTGTATCTTGATAATTATGATGATTAAAACGACAGCTAAAAAAAACTGCTGTTCTTCTTCATGTGCCAAAATGATGTTGATTCTTTGAAAAAATTATGTACATTTATCTCTAAAAATAATAGTATTGTCTGTCTGCTCCACTGTATTATATTTACATGTATATATGTTTTTTTTATGTTTCTGTTCCTTGTGTACCATTTACAGTGGGTAAATAAATTAAATTGAATTGATTTACATTTCAAAGACTTCAGATACTTTTCTGCTTAAATGTATATTAAATGTATATTAATACAATCGAACTATAATTCAGTGCAAAAATACAAGCGTGTTTTATCATGCTTTAAATAAGTTTTTAACGTTTTAGTATGTTTTTTACATGATGTATGGAGGATTTCAAATCGATTTAATTTACGACGTGGGACAAAAATCCGCAGAGTAATTATGTGAGTGTGCATGCACTAATTCGTTTCTTTTTATTAGTTCCCAAATACTTGATATTTTTTCCACACTAAAGACCCTAGAATTATTACAGTATAATTTTTCTTGTCACTTTCTTCTCTCACATTCAAATGAAGTGGGTACCTTCATCCTTCCCCTCTCTCCCATTCCGAACGATATTGATTCTTTTTTAACAATCAATGGGCATACTAGTTAATTATTTTTAAAATGAATTTAAATAAATTTGAATTAGGGCATCAAGAAAGAGACTTCCTCTTAAACATTTATTTTCATAAATTCTCGGTCGTGAAACCAAAGGTAGTACGGCTAAGTTTTTGTAAAACAGTAAACAAGATAGCTCTAGGTTGTAAAAACGAAGTTGATCATAGACATGTAAAGCCAATTAAGCACAGAAAATACGATAGATATTATACTTATTGCATTAATATACATGTATATACTAGTAATTAAATCAAAGGCAGGTCCAGGACCGGCGCGCCCGGGCGTGCCCCCCCTTTCAAATATTTGTATATAAAATTTATAGGTCCATTATCCTAAACTCCGTACAGACACCAAACTCTCCCGCCTAATACTGCCACCGCCCCCCCCCCCCCCCCCGTTACGAAGTAAATGCTCTTCTTCTCAAATAAGTGCATTATTTTAAGTAATGTTACAATTACAGTTCATTGATATCTGCATGTACAAACAAATACACACCATTACATAGCAACATTTTGCCGATTCTGGGAAAGTTATAAATGAGTACTGTATAACTGATTCCCCCCTGCCAGGAGTTAATCTGTATATAATCTTGATGGACAGCCGAGCTCTACAGGTGACGCAGTGGAAAATTTTCTCTTTATATATATCGCGTTTCTCTTTATATGTGGAGGTTCTGTTTATATATTTCGCATTTCCTTTATATATTTTTATTCAGGTTTTGTTTATATATATGGCATCTCCTTTATATATCGAGGTTTGCTTCATATATTGCTTTTCCTTTATATATACAGGTTGGCACTAATGGGCTTCCGTAACTTTGATAACAAATCAAAATTCAGGGAAAAAACACACAACTGTTTGGATGAAAATTACATTCAATCACAAATAATTGGAGATTCCTTTAAACCCACATTTTAACATCACTATCAATGTTTTTTCATGGTTTTTATCAAATAAAATACTATAAAAGCACATATTTTCGTGGGGTCAAAATTTTGTGCTTTGAGGGAAATTTCGTGATGGAATAATTGTTCAGTAGTAATTTATGTGAAAAAATTGCATTTTGTGGTGGACATAAATTCGTCGGTCTCTTCATACCTTGAAAACCACGAAAATTAAGCCCCTACGAAATTTAGTGATTTCATATTACATTTTACTTTATTTTTTTATCTTGTGCAAAAACGAATGCTACGTTACAACCTTGGGATATGGGAAAATATCAAATGAGTGATATCCACGGAATAAAAGGATTAACATAGGATACATAGTTTTATAAATAAATTTTAAGTTATTTCATCTGAGAGATCGGGTTTCTGTCAGATGATTTCAAACGATACAATTTAAATGACAAATATATCCAATTCAAAGTTTTCAACAGTTAACATGTTCAATTTAAAAGTTTTACGAATCATCAAATTCTGTGCTTTTTTTTTAAATATAAAAAAATTAAGACCTGAACTATTCTGAGTCTAAGTAGAAATGTTTGTAAACAAATTTCTTAGTATGGGTAGAAAATACAAAATAAATTCGTTCATAATCAACCGTAATTGTACTTTATTTGTACCCTGAAGAGAGTAAGCTGTTGATGATATTTATCATTTAAGTAATTTATCATGTGCACATTTTCTTTAAGACATTCTTATAAGGAGCTTACTTAGGTGAAAAGGGTCAAAAATGTTTGTAAACAAATTCCTTAGTGTAGGTAGACAATAAAAAATAAATTCGTGCATAATCAACCGTAATTATACTTTATTTGTACCCTGAAGAGAGTAAGCTGTTGATAAAATTTGTCATTTAAGTAATATATCAAATGCACTTTTCCTTTAAGACATGCTTAAAAGGAGACTATTTTCATGCAAAGTGTCATAAAGTATCTTTTGATATGCATGTCAACAATTAGGATTTGGGATTTTGAGATGTTTATTTCCACTATTCTTTTCGTGACCTGTTTGGTCGCCAGCAATTTTCCGCAAAAAGTCAGAGGTAGGTCCTTTTTTCAAAGACTAATTAACTTATTTACAGATTTGTTTATTACATAGCTTATATAAGGACAAATGATAATGAAGTACATATTCTGCCCTAAAGAATAATCTACATGTATATTTCTGACATTTTTATGTCGTCCCGAACGAAGTCGGTACGACAAGCTGTTTCTCGGAGATGGCCGGGACAATATTCCAGAAACTTTCCTAACAGAAGGATCACTGGTTGTAGTTTTGTTGTGTGGTCATTCAGTTTCAAAACGGCTACTGTTGCCATGGAAACCTGCAAAATGTGACAAATTTTGTCCGCGAGTGTTCTCTCTGGTCCCTTGAACATTCTTCATGAAGTTTTATTGATGCAATGATAAGTATATGTAACCGTGCTCATTGGGTTTAAAAATTGGAAATTGTCAATAGTTTCCATGGAAACAGGGGAAAAGTGAAAATTCATCAATTTTGATTTTTAAATCAAAGTACTGAAAGTACTGATACGAGTTGATGGTTGTCCAAGCTTAGCTAATGGGTATTGTTTTTAGTGTTGAAAAAAAATGAAAGTCTTGTCCAGTTCGGGGCGACATAAGCTTTTGCTTGCAATAGCAGACTTTCTAGTTTATAATTAGAGTCGTTGATGTCATTTACAATTTACTTTTCATAAGCTTAATGTTAAATATTTAGTCTTTAAAATTCAATCCAATAAATTGATAATCCAATATAGCACTGATTTTGGGCATCTACTTTTATCAGGAATATTATATAGAGGATATCTATATTGTGTGATTTGATATTGGCTTTATCCAACGAGTTGAAATGTTGTATATGTTCGCGAGGCTTGCCGAGCGAATATACACCATTTCAACGAGTTGGACAAAGCCAATATCAAATTACACAATTATAGATGTTCTATTTATCTCATACGACTTTCGTTTAAACAAAATTTTGAGACTTCCACTGCGAAACTACATAAATGATTGCCAATTCAAATTGATGACGTATAATTTGATGATATAGCACCGTTGATGTTGACATGCCTCGAAAGAGAGTAGATCGTGTTCCAAATTTAGAATTTTTGCTATCTCCGTCTTTGAAAGCATTGTGTGAAATTTCTGGAGCTTTCAATCAAACGAAATTCTTACTGAAAGTAGTAAGGTCCATGGGATTGTGAAAATTAACTCTTTGGACGATGGCAGTACAAGGCTAGGGGCCGATTCATTGTTGATCTATGGTGAGTTACACGGTAATTTACACTTACATTACTACTACAGGAAGGCATACGTAGTAAAATAAAAAAAAAAGCATTGTACGTTGAAGATGTTAATTCTCATGAGAACAACTTAACTGCTAGGCTTTACTTTCTCCGAGAACAATTTAAAGGAAGGGGGCGTGGGTATTAACATCCGTCTTCAAGTAGCCTTGATAAGATAAAACATTTCTTTGACATGTACGAGTCTTTTTCTTGCTTTTAACGACATCGTTGCTCTTTATCATTCATTATATACGGGTAAGGATTTTACAAATTAAAGTTTCAATAATAAATAAAATCTGGAAGCGAGTGATCGTGTCAAAACCGGAAGTGCTATTGATAAAGCATCTAACCGTGGATGAAGCATATGTTTATCCAACGGTCTGAATCATCCATACGTATGAGATAAAAATATTTTCTTCTTTAGTCCTACGACAAGCATATCGGTCTTTTCTTTATATGTATATTGAATTAATCCTTTGTCCCGTTAGACTCCTATAGTACTACCTTGTAATACATTGCGTTGATCCTTTAACTTCTCTATTTCAGCCTCGTGCAACCCTAATCCTTGTTTGAAGGGAGGCATATGCAAAGTGCTGGGAAGAGAAAGTTAGTTCTAACAATTACAAAAGTATCGTTTCCGTCCTTTTATAGATGATATTTTTTATTTTCATTAAAAATCAATCAATTAACACATTTAATTCTAGCCAAAAGTCTTTATTTTCCTCTAATACTTTTTTGCTACTAGAAATCAAATTTTGATAATTTACTTTGAATTATTTTCTTTCATTCCGATTATTTTACATGTAATTTCAAATATAATATGAGGAATGCATTAAAAATACATGTATATAATTTACATTTATAAGTCAATGGTACGGTATTTTGAAAATATTTTAAAAGATAAGAAATCTAAAGGAAAATTGTTCTTCAAAAACCTGTATTTGTACCTATGTTCCTTTTAATGAATGATTTATCTTTTCGGTATATAAAGACTCGGAACAATGGCAAGTGGAATGTAGATGTCCCCTTCCATGGGCAGGTACTTACTGTCAGGAGATTCTTCTACCACCCTGTCGCTTCAATCCCTGTCAAAATGGAGGGACTTGTTACTTTTCCCAGCTGTAGCGTTCTGAAAAATGTCTGTGTCCTTTCCCTTCCCATGGCAATCATTGTGAACATCATTGTAAGTTTTGTTTAATGATTGATTCATACTTGCTATGGTTTATTGTCCATTTTTAACAAGACCCTTGTTTTGTTACTTCTAGTTAAGGAATCGACTTTCGTTTCTGACATCAAGTTAACAATAATGATAATAGGTTTTAAACAATAGTTAGAACCTGTTGTTTATCCAAGCGAATGGAAAAAAAGAATTTTTAAAAAACCGTTAGGTTTTAGTCATTGTTATAGAAGATGTTGATTTGATATTGAAAAGAACTCTCAATTTTTAAAGAAACACAAATGTTGTGAAAATGAATCAATATGAACCCCTTGGTGTTTTTTGCCGATTTATTTCTTTATTAATGGAGTGTTCAAAGGAATAAAATACCTTTAAACCAAATTTTGTTATTATCAAGATAATACCCCAGAGCGAAATTCTGTTTGTAAAAATGCGACTTTCCAACTCATTGTTTTTGCTTTTCGTTGAAAAGAGTCAAAACATAGAGGAAGGTATTGTAAGTTACTTTCCCTACATAATTTCTTAGTTTCTGTAGACATTTTAAGAGTTTCATAAACATGGTTTAAGACAGGCAGGGTTAGCTTTTCTAATTTTTATCTAAATTCTATACACCGGGTACTATAGTACAGATGAATGTACGTCTTTCCATGGAACTTGAATAAATGTCAAAATACCTATTTTTAGCGGTATATAACGTCGACAAGTATTCTCGGCCCAATAGTGTTCGAACTAATAAAATGTGATTGATTACTATTATTATTTTTTTTTTTTTTTTTGCTTAAAGGACAGAATACTCAATTAGTCATTGTACGTCAGAGGCAAAAACATAACAAAATGAGAGTTCCGTTTATTTTTTTACCTAAGTTTAATCCTGACGTTTTTCATACTAATTGTTAGTCCATTTTTTATATATTGAATTGACGACGGATTTTTCCGTTATTTCCCGATCATGACAAGGAGCACACGGCGGTTGTGACCGGTCAGCAGGGGATGATCACTCCTCCATGGCTCCTGATCCCACCTCTTATGTTTTTTATGTCCGTGTTTGCTCTGCTCCTGTTTCGCATTGTTTTATGGACTTTGATATTGAATACTGTTTGTTATCTCCATATCCTTAGGATAATAGTTATTAAAATTGTTTGAATATTTTCTTTACATATGATGATTGGAGTCTTAAAAAGAAAACATAAGTACCGTAGACGGAAAGGAACAAAGCATATACTAATATTCGGAAGTGTTGTTTTTTTAACTAGAAGGTTATCCTTTTGTGGATTTATCCAATAAAACTTCCTATTATTTGCTTTTTTCTTATTTCTGTTTTCATTATAACTTACAAAGACCTATTATCATCAATAAAAATCGAGAATGGAGACAAAACATTAAAATTTAATCTGTTGCTTCCCAGTTTATATCGACTAAAATTACAATATATTCGGTGTGATTTCATTCTGATGCTCAAAGATGAGGGACCTCCGATGGCCTCTTTGGCTTTGTGAATTTCTGAAAAATAATTACTGCAAAATTTCAGCCGACAGATCGATTAGAATCACTTAAACCCTGAATATCTATGATGGCAATGCCTTTTTGTGCCACCTCTGATCCGATGTGACCAATAAATGAAGAAACAACAGCTAAAATAGATAATAAAAATATTTTATTATTTGGATCGAGGGGTGTACTCTTATTATAATTCTTCACTAAAGGTTTCCAATACACTTTTTCGCTACAAAAAAATCAAAAAGCCATACAATTTCATAAAACCCTTTTTATATACCTGATTTATATAAAGAAAACTTTGTAACAGGAACCGACGATCTATACCTTAATTCACGAGGGCTGTTCAATAAATAACGTCCAGAAATTTATGACACACAATACAGATATCATATTAAATTAAGTTTGACTTTCTCTCATTATTGAATCCTTAACGAATTTGTAACAGTTTATGTAACCACTTTTCATTACATGGCTTCATTGTGAGAAGCTGTAAAACAATTCGCTTTTCGATACACTGCATTAAAAATGAATGGTAAAGAATCCGGAAACTAGAGTGAAATTACACGCTTCATTAAAGTTGCTGTAAAATTTGATAAGAATCCCCCCAAAAAATTCACTGAAATATGTTAAATTTACAGCAAGCAATGTCTGTTTTATAGACACATGGGCAGCTGGATTTCAATGAACAAAAATGATACAATGGGCATCAAAAATAGGTACCGTCCTTGGCGACAAGGCATTATAAAAACCAATGTACTGTTTGCCAAAATTCAACAAACAATGACTGATGATTTCTAATTGACTTTAAGACACATAGCAAATTCGATAGACATCATTTTGGGAGTAGTTCACACCGTTTTAGAGAAATATTGACAGTAAAAAAGCTTATAATTAGTACTCAAAAGTTACCTTATGTACATGTGTTGAAAAATGAGTGAAAACGACATGCAGCTCGTAAGAATATCTAAACAATTATTTTTAAAAATCAGAAACTGTAGTAACTGTTACATGTATCCACGTTTGTCTGAATTCAAACAGATAATGAAACTTAAGTCTATTGCTTTAAACCCTAAAAACAAAATTTACAATAAGATGTACTTGACAAGAACATCAAGGTCTAAGAAGAGCAAAGGTATGCAAGAGCACCAAAACAGATTCATATGCCATTTTCTTAAATATAAGTATTCTTGTTGTTCAAGGAGGCAGTTCTAGGAGTCTAGAAAGTAAAATATTTGCAACAAAATAAAAAGGTTTATGAGAAGAAAGAACTAAAATCAGGAATCGACTACAATAAATTTATTCATGACACCATCTAAACCCGCACGTCCCGAAGAGTAAAGGAGTTTTGGGGATAAACAAAAAGTTCATGTTTTGTCACACAGACAATATTCGCCAAATCTTTCACTTTCTGACTTGTTTCGTTTTTCAAAATTGAAAAAAAAACACTTTTCAGAAAAAAGAACAATTCCAGGAAATCATGTGATTTGCCATATTCGAATATACGAAAGGTCATATTCAAAAATAAGTTCTAAAACAATCAGACATTACATAAAAATATTGCGGACGTATATTTTAATTAAAAGAGAGTATTTAACTGAAATCAGTAAGACTAAATCTTTGAAAAGCTTTTTTTTCTTTCCGAGCACAGAGGACATTATTTATTAAGGGCTTTTGGCATCATTTTTGTTTAGCATTACATCAGTAAGTCTTTTTGTATTTAATTGACCCTTTGCTCTGTTGTAACCTCATGCGAGATATGAAACCTATTTTCTATGCATAATAGAACATTAAATTAATATATAAATCTATGATGTATGACAATCCACAACTAAAGAAAATTCATTGTTCAAAGCATAGAATATGCCCAATTTAGTTACTTTCACAGCAAGCAATAAAAAATAACAAAATGCTAGTTAAATATATTAAGCAACTTATATAATACGTATATGTACATGTAGCTTTGTTTTGATACCAATGATTTAACCCCTTTTAATAAGTTCTCTGCTTTGGAATGCATGATCATGTAATTATTAAGAATAAGAATTTGATGAATGCTCACAAGATTTGATTGTGCTAAGTGCAGAAAAATCAAACATAAACCACTACAAAAACACAATTACACAAAAATCAAAGATAATATGTCTTATTAGGTAATACGGTATATGTACTCTTTCTGTGCCCGAAAGAGATAAAAGCCGTTGAATACAATCCATCATCTGCAATCATATATCAAGTGCACATTCCTTTCAACGCTGCTAAAAGAATTTGAATTCAGATAATAAAAGTGCATCATAAAGCGTCTCGCTGATGTACAGATTCAGATGTACGCTTGCAACAAAAATGTCGGCTTGTACAAAACTTTTTGACTGATTTTGTGATAAGCTTTTATTTCTAAGAATCTTTGGTAAGGTTGGAATATTTATGCACAAATTATTATTTTTTTTTGTACAATTGTAGATTATTCAAATCACGATAATACATGTACTATATATGTATGTGTACTTTTTGGTACATGTTATTTTTTATTATAATTACATGTATCTAAATTTTCTATTATAAAAAAATTCAACAATTCGTTATTAAAAAAATAAGGAAATTATTCTAAATTAACGGAAGATATGAAATCAAAAGAAGGTGGAAACAGCAATTATAAATACTTGCTTATCTTGAATTAATTTCTATAACAAACCCAATATTTTCAATATAAACTTTAATTTTTATTGCTGCGAGATATATTTATGTACAGGATAATTAGTTAGTTGAACCTAGATTAATAAATTTTCGGTAATGCCACCACCTCAAGATCTGAGACATTTAAAGGATAATCAGAGATAATGCTCATACCAAATGTTCTCGTAAAGGCTATTGAAGGAAAATGGGTCTATTAGAAATAATTGGAGGAATGATTCCTTAAAGTTAATAGAACATTTTCGTTTCTTTTTTGTATTATCCTCTGAGTCTGTAACATTAGTTCAATAGATGTAATTGTCGATAAATGACCTTATAAGTTGCATTGTTTATTAATGTCAAAGAAGCCGCCATGGTTTTTTCCATTGAACAGTTATGTTCCTGCACAATATGATGGCGTCCTAATAGTTATTTGATAAATATTTACAGGTATAAAAAATCATTTATTTAAGTTTGCCTTTTCATACAGATTTTTAGTTTAATTTTAAAAGGTATGAAAAAGAGTTTATGCATTTTATAAAGTTTTATTCGTATAGTTTATGACTTTGAAGAGCTATTTTGTCCGATTTATACTAGTAGTAAATTGGCTAATTACGCTCATGTCAGTGATATGCCCCCTTAGCCTCTCCTCTGTTATTAATAGAAAAAGAAAGCTTTTCTCAAAGTTTACATCTATTTTACGTTAACTCAAATGTAATAATAGAAGGTTCAATGTAAAAACTAAAATGTTAGATCTTACACCCTACAAAATAGATATCATTGTTACAGAAAATTATTTAGAGGCATGTCATTTTAGGTCTTTTATTATATTTTACCGTATAAGTATGCTGCATTATTGTGATTAGAGAAACACCGTTTCATTTTCTCTGTTTTTACATATTAAGGTGAATTTTTTTTATCTCTGCTAGTACAATTAAATACAGAATTCATGCTTCCATTTTATTTGTCGGTTTACACAGCAAAGCTCATGGATAACTATAGTCTTCTACAGCATTGTCTCGAGTATCCTCCTCCACACAAGTTTGCACCATCATAACCACCACGGCAGCTTCTACTGGTGTCTTGACAAAATCCATAGCGGTATTTTTTCCAGCAGAGTCTATCGGCTCCTTAGGAAATGAGAGTTATGAATCAATTAATATGCAAAATACACAAAGTACATGTACTTCATCTTACGTTTAAACAATGTTTTTATTTTTCTTTTAATAAATTCTAATTAGTGGCCTTTGTCATAGATAGACTTTATACTATATTGGTCAGGCTTGGGATAGTGCTAAATGAACTGGTGATTTATTGCAATGCCGTACTTGTACTGGATGAAATACTAGTAATGTGTAATGCCAAATCATTGCATAACATATATGTAATGGTTATATTATATATTACTCTCTAAAATTCAAAATAATGTTTTCAAGATAGCATCACAAAGCATTATTTTGTAATTACTTATTTAAACAATAATTAAAATAGGCATGAAAAGGATTGTTAAGATTTCATTTCTTAAATAAAAGAAATAAATTTGAAAATTAAGCCTATTCAAACCATCTTTCCGCGTAAATCTGAAAAATAATTTTATTGTAATAATTTCTGAATGAAAAATAAATACACAATTAAATATACCTATTTATTTTAAATTTAATTCTAAAGAATATTTCAATTTTCATAAGGTATGCAGCAAACTAGACGGATAATTACAGCCTTCTATGTGAGTGTCATCAAAACACACAATGCCTCAAAAGTTTTGTAACAAGAAAGTATTGTTTGAAAAGTACTTCAAAAATCTGTCCTTTCTTCTCGCTGTGCTTATAAATCATAATTTGAGCTGGTCTAGCTTGAGAAATACACTGCCCAAATGAATAGAAGACAAGCATTTTACTTTTAGAGGAGCTTAACATTGAAAAGTGGGAGGGTATTTTGTGATCTGGATGTTCGCCTCTCCTTACGTCTAATGTTTAAGAGGTTCGTGTTTGCTTTACTCCTGATTTACATAGTTTTAATGGACTATGCAGCCTGAAAACAGTTCATCATCTTCCGATTTCATAGATATTCTTATGTAATTTGAACTTAGCATACGTTGACATCTCTGTATGACTTAAAATTCTTGAATTGGACGTCAAACACAATGGTGTTATTTATAATTATATATTTTTTAAAGGTCACTACTGGCTTTTTTAATGACAACCTCTTGATGTTATATAATAGCCGAATTTTTTGCTTGAGGCATACACTGTATCAGTAATAGGGCATTACTATTAAGCATAGTTACTTCTATAATTTACTTTCAATTATTAGAATATGAAAATTTCAAGAAATTTATTGAATTGGTGAATTAAAAAAATCAACATGGCATTTTATCAAATGTTGACAGAATTTACAACAGTGAAGAGGGCTAGGAGTTTTGGCCATTTCAGACCATGTTGATTTATTTTAGAAGAAGAACTCCATATACAAAAATGATCAAATTTTAAAACTAAAATGTTTAATTTTTTTCATTGCCAAATGATGGTTGACAGATTAAGATATCATCTACAAATTTAAGTTATATCTGATGATTAATTTGTTGACACCCCCAGCCTCCTTTAGTAAGTTAAGCATAACTACATTACAAACATTCTTACCACTGACACAACATTGCCTGTTGTTTGGCCCGCCACACAAGGGGGCGCTGTTGTACCTGCCACAACTTTCACTGGTATACTGGCACCGTCCGTTCAATCGCCAACAAGGGGAATCATCTCCTAGAAAGTTTATAAAATCATAAAGAAAATATTATGTTTCATTTTTTTTAAGGGGATATTAATCAAGGACAAATGAAATGCAGTAACCTTCAATTTGTTAGCATCCTAAATAAATTTTGTGCTAATACTCTTAAAGCAATATGAGCTGCATTTTTGAAAATTTCATTTTGCTATTAAAATGTTTTATTATAATAATTTTGTGTGTAACTTAATTTTTTATGATCACTAAGACTAAAATAAATCAGAAGAAAGACTTTTAAATATTATCCAATATACAGTTTTATATAAGAAATTATTATTGAACAGGATGACAATAATGTAACTTTGATTCAATCGAAGCTTATAAATAGTTTTTCCATCATAAATATGAACAACAGAAGTTTATTAACGTTATTTTTACTGTCGTTGAAATATGGGGGTATTAACAATTTTGCAATAAAAAATTCCGACATCAAAGTTGCAGCTCATATTGCTTTAACCATTTGCTTTAAAAAAAAAACGGTTTCAATAATCGACTTCTACTGAAACATTAAATATGAAGTAATCGAAATTTAATTGATCTCCGTTTATCGCCATCTATCTATTAAGATGATCTAGATTAAATAATAAATTTTAAATAAAATGTTTCTTTCACAGTGTTAAAAAGATAAAAAGTTACATGTTCTCTTATGATAAAATCAAACTTGCTGATGAATAAAGAGTACAATACATGTTAAAAATAATATTATCATTGCCACTTTACCTGCCACGATGTTATTGTTACAACATATCGTAAACAGTAGAAATGCCGTGATGAGGAGGATATTCGGACTAACCATTTTGAATTTTACCTCTGATTCCTTATCATTATAACTAAATTCCATGCTTTTATATTGGTATATAATCCACTAAATGTCAAACAAGTTTATTCAAAGTGATGATCTTGTGACAACTTATTCAACATGTGTTCTTCGATTTTTTCTAGCTTTTTCATACAAGTTTTCGTTTCCTGGCATGTTTATCACGTACAATTTTTTGAATTATTTTTTTTCTTTTGGCTGAAGGACCAAACGTTTGTGAAAACATATAATTATACCTGACGGAATCTATCATTAAAATCATTCAATTTGAA